GAGGGCTAGGAATGGGGAAAAAATAAGAACCAAGATGCATTATGTAAAGGTACAATTCCCAATGAGAAATGTAATTGTGTTGTGTACCAATAAAAGAATTTAACAAAATTTTTAAAAAATGAATATTACTTGAGATGCCCACTTGCAACCAGGAGCCAGTGAGGACCCCCCAGGCATGCCCACCAGCTGCCCACAGAGCCACATGGCCCCCTACAACAGAGCCCCCCACCCCGCCTCTGGCCTCTTGGCTGTGCAGCCACCTGGTTCCACACTACAGAGGCACAGGGGGTCATAAAGGCCATTGTCCTGGGCTGCAGAAGTGAACAACAGAGAGAGGGCCTCGCTCAGGCTCCCTAATGAAAAACTGAAGCCCACTGGAAAAGTGAAGAGAATCTCTGCAATAAAGGCACACCAGACCACCATACTTGGTAAGTTGGAGGGCTCATCACCTCCCATCGGAACCTGGACTGTCTTCAGGGGAAAGGCAGCTGGAACCTGCAATAGAACCTTGCACAGTTCAACCCTGCAGGAGGACAGGGAGCTCAGCTTGGGACTTACAGCCAGAAATCTGCCTGAATCTAATGGGTCTGGCTTACTGAGACTCATTGACTTATAACCACACTGCTGCCCATGTTGTCTATTGTGACAGCAGAGACATACCCTGAAGGAGTCCCCTCACTTTTATCTTTTATTTGTTACTTTCAAAATTACCACTATTATTTTTGCTCTTATTTTTAATTTTTAATTTTTTTCTTCTTTTCCTACTTTTAAAATTTTTATTTTTCTCTTTTTTCTTTCTTTCTCTTTTCTTTCTCTCCCTCTCCCTTGCTCTCTGGCTGTCCCACATTGTTCTTCATTTCCCTTTGTGTTCCTGTACTGGATCTAATTCATATTTTTTCTTTATTTTTCTTTTCTTCTCTTTCCTTCTCTCACCTGTGTCCTCAGGCCTCACTGCTAACCTTCCCCTATCCTTCTACCTACCTATCCCTCCCTCCCCAACTCCTTCTAACTCCCCATTCTGAAGGGTAAAGTTGCTACATTGAAGAGTTTATTCACTATAAACATATGTTGGGTTGGTCCTTGATTTTGATCTAATTCACACAGTTAAAGGTGATAGACTAATAGCTACCACAAATTGTAATTTTCTAAGAGGTACTTGATGCTATTGTGTTGCTGATTGTATCACTTGCGCTAAGGTGTTGTGATTTATCTAATCAGTTGTCCTTCCTGGTAAAATGAAAATGAGACAGCCTCAGAGCCATTAAGAGACTCAAATCCTAAAGACCAGCTATATCTAGAAGACACCTCTGAGAAGCAATCATTCCATAAGGGTTCTAAATACAACAACAAAGATACTTATAATAAGCAACTTCAAAGTATCAATCCAGGAATTAAACCAAGGACAGTACTAAAAACAAAAATGAGAAGACATTTAAGTAAGGCACAAACTCAGACTTCCACCCCACAAAAGGCAAATTCTGGGGGAAACGAGGTGGAGAAGTCCAATAATCAACCACCTGGACACCCTGAACTGATAGCACAGGAAGTAACAAAACAGATGAATGAGGCTCTACAAAAATTCAAAACAGAAATAATCTCCCACATAACTACAGAGATGGGGAGCAGAGTGAAAGACATGATTAGAGGCTCTAGAAAAGAAACAGATAAAAAAAAATAGATGAGCTCAGAAATATGCTGGAAGGCATGAATGCCCAGCATAAGAAAGAAATGGTAACCATGATCGACCAACATAAGAAAGAAATGGAATCCATGAAACAGATTTAAACAGATATTCAGGAGATTAAAAACTCCACTGAAAGCATGCAGAGCAGATTAAAGGAATATGAAGATAGAACATCAGATATAGAAGACAGGATTGAGGCTAATGACCATGAAAACAGAGATTTCTTAAAAATAGTAAAGGACCAGGAGAAATCAAACCAGCAGCTGCTAGATGATGCAAAGAAAAATAACATAAGACTGATAGGAGTCCACGAAAAAGCAGGAGAAAGTACAATTGACATAAAAAAAATCTGTTCACAGAAGTAATAATAGAAAACTCCCCAGACAGAGGTGGAGAATTGAACATACAGATAAGTGAGGCATATAGAACTCCAACTAGCCATGATTAAAAAAAATCTACACCTAGACATATAATAGTCAAGATCCCAGAAACTCAACAGAAGAAAAAAATCCTACATGCAGTTAGAGAGAAGAAACAAATCACCTACAAAGGAAAGCCCATCAGAATCACAGCAGACTTCTCAACACAAACCCTCGAGTCAAGGAGAGCCTGGAGTGAAACACTTCAAGCCCTAAAAGAAAATAACTTCCAACCTAGACTGTTCTATCCTGCAAAATTATCTTTCAAAATCCACAGGGAAATTAGATACTTCCATGACAAAGAACACCTAAGAAATTTCATGAACACCAAACCAGCACTCCAAACAATTCTAAGCAATAGCCTAGAAAAAGACAATGAAGGTCTCAACTCCATGAGGCCCAACAGAGGGAAGCCACCAGGCAAGGTAAGACACTAAAGGGAAAAGGGGAAAAAAGTAAGAAATAAAAGAGCCAACAACAATAAAGCATCACAACAAGGATGAGTCAATATCTATCAATTATAACTATCAATGTTAATGGCCTCAATTCATCAATCAAAAGAAATAGACT